AAGTTTCTTTGGGAGACTGCAAATTCAGGACTTTAGCACCAGAGTATCGTTATTTCTTGATTTATGGTGGAGGTGTGCACTCTGTGTCCTGTTAGTCAATGATGATAAAGTAGATATCAGTGCCTCTGTGGATTTCCTGTTGCCCCTTCAATAGCCACCATTTAGAAGTATTTAATCAGGTGGAAAGTGCTGGGGGTGAGAAAACGTTTTCAGTTTTCCACTGCCCTGTGGACTTCCTTTTTAGATTTTCTAAACTGGTAAAACTAGTATTTCACATCTACCTGCCTAACTTTGTTCTTTTTTTTTTTTTCTTGATGTTTATTCATTTTTGGGAGACCGAGACAGAGCACAAGTGGGGCAGGGGCAGAGAGAGAGAGGGAGACAGAATCAGAAGCAGGCTCCAGGTTGAGTTGTCAGCACAGAACCTGACACAGGGCTTGAACTCATAAACCGTGAGATCATGACCTGAGCTGAAGTAGGACGCTTAACGGACTGAGCCACCCAGGTGACCCTGTCCTTTCTTTAGTTGACCAGAGAGAATATTCCTAGGTAACATGATGACAGCTGTTCTGAGTCCTAGTTTCCTTTTGGTTCCTAGTTAAGTCCTCAAGTAAGCACACACTTTTACTGTCACTATGTGCTCATTGATGCCTCCTTAACTAGTCAGAATAGATCTGCTAAAAAGCATCAGCCTCTAATAACCAAGGAAGTAACCCATATTTTCTTTTCAAAATTGAGATGAGAAAAAGTCATGAAGGAGGGGACACTGAATATTTGAATATAATGCCTGAGTATGTTTACAGCATTATTATGCTGCATCTATTGAAGTTTATAAATTTAAACTTGAGCTGTAGTTCTCAAAATGTGGTCTCTCCACCAGCAACATCAATATCACCTGAAAACTTGTTAGAAATGCAGAATCTTGGACTTCACCACTGACCTACTGCATCAGAGACTCTGAGATGGGGCCCGGCAGTCTGTATTTTCATACAGAAGCAATTTGGATGCACACGAAGTTTTAAGAACACAGGTTTTAGGATGTTGCCAAGAATAGCTTATTTTCCCCTTTTTTTTGTTTTCAAACGTTGGTGTGGACAAATTGTCCCTTTTCTGAGAAGCATTTAAATACACTAAACACTTATTCCTACCTTTTTTCTTTAAAAAATTTTAAATGTTTATTTTTGAGGGACAGAGAGAGAGAGAGAGAGAGAGAGAGAGAGTGCACAAGCAGGGGAGGGTCAGAGAGAGAGAGGGAGCCGCAGAATCTGAAGCAGGCTCCAGGAGCTGAGCTGTCAGCATGGAGCCCAAAGTGGGGCTCGAACTCGTGAACCATGAGATCATGACCTAAGCTGAAGTGGGAAGATTAACCCACTGAGCCACCCAGGTGCCCCTATTCATGCTGTTTTTTTCACGTTCATGTTAATCATAGTACAGATGCCCTTTTCCTTTCATTTTAAAATAAGGCAAAAAGGGGTAACATCCCTTCAGTGTATGGGTACCCTCAAAAATGAGGACTCTGATACAAAAACTGACATGAAATACATAACAAAGAATTGTTAGCACTGTTCTAGGAAGACCTCCCTTCACACAAATATCCACATGAATTACCCCTTAACACAACTTAGCTGAGAGAGGAGTAGAAGAAAATGTGGGAGTAAGGTAAAAGTCTTTTTTAAATTTTATTAAATTTTTTTTAATGTTTAATTTATTTTTGAGAGAGAGAGAGAGAAAGACAGCGTGAGGAGGGGAGGGTCAGAGAGAAGGAGACACAGAATCTGAAACAGGCATCAAGCTCTGAGCTAGCTGTCAGCGCAGAACCTGATCCTGGGCTCGAACCATGAGATCATGAACCCTAAGATCATGACCTGAGCCTAAGTTGGACGCTCAACCAACTGAGCCACCCAGGAGCCCCAATAAGGGTCTTTTAAAAAATACATTTTAAAAAGGCATTAAAAAAAAAACAACTCCAAGCATAAGCAGCTTATTTTTAATCACACATAAAATGCTGTGTAAAGTACTGTGAGGGGGTATCTGTGCAATTTAATGACTGTAAGCCAGTGCTTTAAATTTTTATTGTTGTTTTTATTGCCTGGAGTTCCATCTCCCTGTGACAGTGTTGGGGGAGTATTGGGGTAATACCCGTGATTAATCAGCTGACATTTATCGAGTGCTTAATACGTGCCCAAAACCGGGTTAAAATAGGGGAATTGGGAAAACACGTCTCCTGCTTTTTAACAAGCTTACAATCTAGTTGGTGAGATGGGAGTAAAACTGAAACACGTGGGCTCAATAAAGGAAGGAGATCGAATGGGGAGGCCTGGGACAGACTGAGAATGAGTGCAGGGGAGCACACTGTGGGAAGCAGTCACCCTGAGGATCTAGTATTTATTTAACAAAGGCTTCAGGGGACAGGTGGGCGTCAAAGGGAGCTCACTGTCTATGGAGAATTGTTTGCAAAAATGACCTCCATTCTTTTCCTTCCTGTCTCTCTTTGCCCCTTGGTGACGGAAGTTTTCAGCCCCTCACATTATGAGAATTTACCCTTCCACTCCTGGGATCTGAACTGGCTTTGTAAGGGTGGTCGTGACCAGGGGTCAGTTCTGAGGTGAGGCCTCAAGAAGCGCCTTGCTTGCATGCTAATGGCCCCTCTCTTGGGACATGCGCAGCTGCCAGGAGCAAACCGAGGCTAAGCCTGTTAAAGGAAAGACACCGAATTCTTCAAGAGATGAGCTGTCTCACCTGGGGCCATCTGAGACTTGTCAGCTGAGCCTTTGGTGAGCCCAGCGGAGAAGAGAAGGATCCCCCTGCCTGAGCCCAAACGGGCCAACTGTGGAATCCTGAGCTAGATGAGCGTATATTGTTTTAGGCCAACAAATTTTGGGAGTGGTTGGCCCTACCCCAGCAGGTAACCGGAACAAGGCCTGGAAGGTGGAGAGAAAGTGCGGTAGGCTCAAGTTCAGACTCCAAAAAGGCCGAGAGCCAGCAACGTGTGAGGTCAGGTCAAAACAAAGTGAAGACACCACACCGGGTAGGGGACTGGATGTCTGATCACTTTCTTTCAATAAATCAGTGGGGACACGGGTGCTAAAGAGAACATGTGCCGGAGGCCAGACCTGCATGAGTATGCTGCTACACGGGAATCTGCCCTTGAAGCACCATCAGGGCATAATAGCAATCCCCACAGTTGAAACACACAGTGAGCACCTGAACCCTGTCCTTCTAAGCTGCACTTTGAGGGGCTGACACTGTTGCCTGTAGTTTTCTAGCCAACTATATTATGCCAAGGGAAAAAAAATGTGGCTTATAATGTCATTTTTATACATAAAAATCTAGAACTTAAGTGACACACTTCAATAAGCTGCTAGAAGCAATTTGTAGAATCCTGCAGTAAAAGATACTATGAAGAGTTCTCTTAAAATCTTAGATTCTCACCATGTGGATTTATTGGCCATCGGATAACAACTTCAACTCCGCTTTATGAGGTCGTTGAATCTATTTTTCGCCTTAAAAAGGCAGAAGAGGAAATATTTTAAGTGCTGAAAATGTGCTCTCTTAATGCGGAGCGGTGGGTGTTTGAAAAGAACATCCCTGGGGGAAGGATTCTTGTTTTAAAAATAGCTCCTTAAATTTGGCAGGACAGGGTAGGGGGCACAGTGGGGGAGGGGGTTGGGGGGAGGGTCAAGTTGGGGAGGTGGTATTCAGACGGAATAGGTAACCTACGGATGTTTGAGATTTCTGTTCCAGCAGTCACAGAAGCATCTTTCATCTTAATCATGTAACCAAAACGGATTAGTTGACGAAGAGCCACAAACTTTATACAAAATGGCCTTACTGAGCAACTATTTCTTTCAAACCTTGCTCATATCAGCAGGACCACACAGGTCAGAAGACCATGGGGGAACCAGGGATTTCACCCGGCAAAAAGGCAAGGGTAACGAAGACTCAAGTGCCACCCAAGGATCCAGGGAAAGGGGCGTCATCCCCGAAGTGCTCACTGTGTGTGTGCTCGCTCGCAGGACAGCGAGCGTGACATAAAGTTGCTTTCATTGCTGCTGGTCTCCTGTGAACATGTTACTCCCTTTTGACTCCCAAGCATGCAGTTCACCCAAAACTTTTCTGACACGAGGACCCGCATCTCCCGTGTCCCCCTCTTCCTTGCCCGCCCCCCCTCCCCCCCGCGTGGTCGGGCGTCCTGCGCCGGCTAACAGGTCACCGACTACTGAAGCGTCACCTCTCACTCCCCAGTAAATCTCCGCAGCCCACTCGGACTGCAGCCTGTTTGCCGCCCGGCCTCCCATTGCAGCAACCGGGGCGGCCGCGAGGGAGGCGGCGGCGCGCAGGGCAGGCGAGACCGCCGGGGACGAACTCGCGGGCCGGGCTCCGGAACCAGCATGGGGAAGGGAAGTGCGGGCCGAGTTCGCACCACAGGTAAACAGGCCGGCGAGGCGCAGGGCGCTGCCGCCGCCGCCGCGGCCGCCCAGCGATTTCCAGGCACGCAACTCCGCCTCCAGGGCGCTCTCCCTCGCGCTCTCGCCCAGCCGCTCGCTCGCGGCCCCAGCAGCCGCCGCAGCATCACTTCACACAAAGGACTGTTGCCCGCTGAGCAGCTCCTCCACCTCCACGTCCTCCTCCTGTGACAGCAGCCCCGACAGCAGGGCTCGGGCGCGGCGGCGGCGGCGGCGGCGGCGGGGGGACCTGTCACTCCCAGCAACCGAGGCGGCGGCAGCGGCTTTTCCCCCCTTTTTCTGTTTTGCTGCTTTTTTCCCCTCATACCTCTTCGCCTTTCTGTGGTTCCACCCACCTCTCCCTCCCTCCTCCTTTCCCTCCTCCTCCCATAAACAACTCTCCTACACCCCCCCCATAAATAAATAAAAGGAGGAGGGTAGGGGGGGAGGAGGAGTGGTGTTGGGGGGGGGAAGGAGGAGAAGAAAAGGGAGGCAGCGCGAGAGAGCGAGGCAGAGTCCGAACCGACAGCCAGGAGCCCGCACGCACCTCGCACCATGAGATGGCGACGCTCCCCGCGCCGCTCCGGGAGCGCCGGCCCCCGGGCCCCGCGCCCCGGCCCCGCCGCCCGCCCGCCGCCGCCGCCGCCGCTGCTGCCGCTGCTGCTGCTGTGGACCGCGGCCCTGGGGCCGGGGGCGGCCGCCGGCGACGAGGCGGCTCCCGCGGGGGCCTCCGTGTGCTACTCGTCCCCGCCCAGCGTGGGCTCGGTGCAGGAGCTGGCTCAGCGCGCCGCGGTGGTGATCGAGGGAAAGGTGCACCCGCCGCGGCGGCAGCAGGGGGCACTCGACAGGAAGGCGGCGGCGGCGGCGGCGGCGGCGGGCGAGGCAGGGGCGTGGGGAGGCGAGCGCGAGCCGCCGGCCGCCGGCCCGGGAGCGCTGGGGCCGCCCGCCGCGGACCCGCTGCCCACCGCCGACGGGGCCGTGCCCGCCCGGCCCGGCGCCGCGGCGCCCCGCGCGGGCGAGCCCGGAGACGAGGAGGCGCCCTATCTAGTGAAGGTGCACCAGGTGTGGGCGGTGAAAGCCGGAGGCTTGAAGAAGGACTCGCTGCTCACCGTGCGCCTGGGGGCCTGGGGCCACCCCGCTTTCCCCTCGTGCGGGAGGCTCAAGGAGGACAGCAGGTACATCTTCTTCATGGAGCCCGATGCCAACAGCAGCAGCCGCGCGCCGGCCGCCTTCCGAGCCTCGTTCCCCCCTCTCGAGACGGGCCGGAACCTCAAGAAGGAGGTCAGCCGGGTGCTGTGCAAGCGGTGCGGTAAGTTCCTCGCCCCTCGGGGCGCGCTCCGGCCGGGCGGGGAGGTCGCGGGCGCGGCGGCTGCCCGGCGCGCGCGGGCTCCGGAGTGGAGTTTCGGGGGTTGCGGACTCTCCAGTGATTCTCAGAGAAGGTTGCGCGGATTGGATTCCACAGGCAGCGCCTTCTCCCGTTACCTGTTTCCTAGGCTTTTCCATTGGTGAGAGCCCAAGTTTGGTCTTCGGTGGGGGCCGCCTGAAACTTCAAGCCCTTGGGGTTTCCTTCGCCGAGTTGCGTGGACACGGGCCGGCTACTTTCTTGGGAGTGCGTCGTTGAACTTGCTCTTGGTTATGAGGTGCTAGTGATGTCTGGGCCGCCGTGTGGGGGCTTTTCCTTTGAAGGAGGAAGGGTGAGTCCGACAGGGTTTTCACGCCTTTCCCTCACTGGGAGTCCTGAGCGTGCAGGTGGTCAGGGTTTCGGGTCTCTGGGAGCCCTCGCTGGGAAAGGACACCGCGCCGAGATTCCTCTAGAAAAGGGGCAGAGTTTTTTTTTTTTTTTTGGCCAACTCCATGTCCAACAGATAGGTGCAGTCTGTACCTTGGGAAGAGGTGTTTGTGAGAAGTATTAAGTTGGGGGGGGTGTATTTTTGGGGAAGTCCTCTCAAGAATTTTCTTTTTCACAATATTTTGGTTTGGAGTATGTTTTGGCACGTCAGTGACTCAGAACAGATGAGCGTAGTCAAGGAGCTTCACGTGTAGGCCCTGAATTTGGGAAGAATTTGGGAAGCCAAGTTTAGCAATCGATTTCCCAGACCTTCTTCCCGTTTTCCCATTGTAAAGTATTCTTCTCTAGTCTCCTACATATGATCAGGTCTGAGAAATTAGCTGATAATCTGATTACATTTCTGAGGTAGTATGACATTGGCGCCATTCACAAAATAATTTCTAGGTTGGAAATATATGTATAATTTCCTGATTACCATACAATCACTAAAGCATAGCAGGGTATCTTCTCAAACCATAAATTAACTTGATTACACATCACAAATTCTAAAAGCCACACACAGTGGCTTTTTCCGTCTTTCCCTGTATCTGCCTAATAGATGGTTGGGTTAATTGAATTTTTACAAAACTCAGCACCATGCCATGCTCACTCTGCCTGTGATGCAAAGTGTGTCAGTTCTTTTAAATGTGTATCTGATGATAGCCAATTATTTGTTTCTGGTTGGCATTTGTGGTGCTTCTAATCCTGTAGTTAATTAATACCTGACGATTTGGTTTTAATGACCGGAAAGAGCATTGCTCATCCACGATTTCCCTATGTTCACAATGCACTTTGTGCTCCAGACCTGTTAAGATTGCACCACTCTGTGGACAGAAGCTGTTCTCAGACAGTGGTGCTGAAGAATAGCTGAGTGACGTTGGGATTCCCCGGGTCTGGCTGATAGATGTCACTGTAAAACATGGGAAACGCTCTGCTGGGAGCAGTCTTATTAGGGAACACAAAAGCTCAACACCATTGTACTGCGGTATATGTTACTCTGCTCTGGAATCTGAAACAAAACCTTTTAAGCCATACCATTGTCCAGTTTTCACATGCTTTATTCTGTGTAATTCAGAAAGGATTTTGCATTTACCCCAAATCATGAATTGTGAATCATTTACTCTACATGGTGGAAATTGACATAAAAAGGATCGCAGTTGGCAGTGATGCCAAGGATTGGGGGTGTGTTACTGGATTAGCGATGGTGTTTTGGTTTTGAGTAGAAATAAACATCAGACTTCAGGGATAAAGTTCTTATAAGCATCCCGGGGATGTTTGGAAATGGAATATTCATGTTGTCTGGAGGAATACTATTCTGTTTTTGTGCTTCTAAGGGGAAAACCTTCAGGAAGGTAGTCTTACTCTCTTGTTTGTCAAAGGAAATACATAGGAAACTGTGGCATGCTAAGCAAAACAGGTTTTTAAAATGAACTGGAAAGCTCCCTGCGTATAATTGAGTAGATTAAGAAATCATGAAGTTACAGCTCCAGGTTTGTGTAATTATTGTGTATGTATGGTGATGTTTAGGGTCAGGATCTTTGAGGTAGGCTATTGTATGAAACCTTAACAGGTTTAGCTAAAGCCTGACGTAAATTTATGCTAAAAGTTTCTCTTTTTATGAACATAGTAGTTATTGTGCTATTGTGGGATAAAAGTAAATAGTATGAGCTATTTTATTTTTATATGATGTAAACAGGAAATCCGTATTGGGATATCGGGTTTAAAAGCGTGTGAGTGTGTGAAAACCTGTGAATTCTTCCCATTGTGTGGTTTCTCTTAATGTCATTCAGAACCTACCAGGCAAAGGAACACCAATTGGGAAAAAGGAAGATCTGTATTGAGAGAAGAGGGGCTGATTTGTCCTGCTTGAGCTGGTTCTGTGTGCTTCTGGTGAGAAGATTTCAGGGAGAGTGATGGAGGAGGGGGGTTCTTATCTAAGGACATGAAGCCGCCCTGGGGGCGTGACTGTTGTGTAGCTGCCTGAGCCATGATGCCAGGCTGGAGAGGGAATATAGCAAAGTCATTTTGCGATATCATACCCCGGGGAACTGTTTCCAGCTCTCATGCACTCAACTGCATGCAATGTTGCTTCCTACAAGTTGCTTACTAGTGTGGAAGCCGCACATGCAACAGATTAGCAATAGACATCTCCCCTGAGGTTTTTTTTTTTTCCTTTTCTCTCTCTCTCTCTCTCTCTCAATCTCTCCCCCCCCTTTTTTTTAACCCCATCTAAGATGAACTCCTGAGCAGTGTCTGTCTACAAAGTTCTCTTCTTGAAAAAATGAATCTTTTGAAACAACTGCTTAGTGTGTCTTAGAAGACAACACGGAATCTCATAGCTTATTTGCTTTATAGTTGAGGTTTGTATAAATTACATACACTTTTTGTAGTTATTTAAATGCTTCCCATTCTTTGCTATTTCTCTTGCTCACTGAACAAGCGAAGAAATATTTTTAGGTTTTATATTAATCGGAATGCAAACCAATTTCCTGTTCAATTAAATTTCTGTTATTCAAACAAATCATCGTTTGACACACTACGATTTTAGTTTTCAAAGCATTGCAGTGATGCCAGGCAGAATATGATGTCCAAAATACTGTTGAATAACATCTATGGGTGTTATTGGGCCATGCAAGATTTGTGCATCATCATCTTATAATCCAATGTAAATGTTTGGTAATACTGGAATATATTGATAACATAGGCATACATATCAAATATGTATGATAAATGGCATTTGCTTTTTCTAATATCCTCAATAACTGTTTAATAAAGTGAGCTGACCTTATGGTGTTATGAAAATGACAAATGCTGCAGGGATTTTCCAGCCAGCACTGAAGAAAATAATTCTTAATAAAAGCTATATTAAGTAGGTAGCAATAGGAACAGATACAGCTTGACTGCTTATATTTCATAAATACACGTGTAAATTTAATTTCCCAAGTGTTTGCGGCTATTCTCCTTAAACTGTATAAATCTGTTAAAAAATCTATACTTAAAGCACTTTTCGGATGAACAGAGAAACTATATATATTTATATTCATAATAAAAAAAAATGAGCCCAAGATTGGTCATTTGGAAAAACAACTCCCTGAAATAACGGTGTTTTAAAAGGAGAATGTAAATATCTGAAGTAAGATATTTTACAAGCACTAGGGAGTAGTTCTCCTCCGTTGTGGGAGATCTGTAAGTCCTCGGAATCTAGGGAAAGTTTTACCATATGTCTTGATGTATTAGGTAAGACCGGGAAGCTTAAACAGCACTGAGGGGCTAAACAATGAGCTGTCCTTCCGCTGGCCTGTATATTTATAGCAAATGAGAGCAAAAGACGTGATTGGGCAGGTTAGTGCCCTTGTCAAATGTAATCTATTCATTGTTCAGGGAATCTTCTTTGCTTCAGTACCCATTTTCTTCTTGGTATTTTTTCCCCTAAATTATAAACATAACCTCTTTTAAAATGTATTTTTAAGTTTTAGTGACAATTTATGAATTAGCCAGATGTCCAAAGACCTTAAAACTCTCATCTGTGTGTAGTATTTGGTAATTCTTAGGTTTTTGGTTTGGTTGTTTTTGATAAGCTTAAATGATGTGAAAAGCTTATCTGTACAGATAGGTCTTAGTGAGTGTTTTGATTAGCCTCATATAAATAAATGTTAATAAAGAAAACAAAAAGAATATGATGAAAAACCATTACATTCATTGAAATTCAATAATGAAAAGTATATAATGAAAACAGAAGCTAAAATTTAGGGTTCCTATGACTCATGCAGTTTGTTGCCAAAAACAGTAGCATAACATGCCTTAGTCAAAGTTTTCATGAGAGAGTCAGGACTCCTTTTGAATGTTCTTAATCTTAAATAACAGAAATGACTTTTGTGGACAGTTTCCCACCCATATAGGAATGCTCTGAACGTGGGCATGCACATGTTAATCTGTGCTCTTATGTTATCCTAAAACTTCAGCTAAAATTAAGGTAACATTATGAATGATCATATGACCTCACCACTCCCCCAAATATCAGTCACTTTGTACCAGGCAACAACTAATGAGTGATACATTCTGCCGTACTTTTAAATCTAAAGTTGAATTGTTTGAGAATTTACAGAATACAGACTTCAGTCTTACTGATTGGAGGTAAGTGCTAGTTGAGAGGTTTTCATATTGTTTCGTGCTGTGTTGTGCTTGAAGCAAGCCTGTTTCTGAAGGCTCACTTCCTGGCTCTCTGTCCCCAAATGATCCGTACAGGTTAAAATAGATAAAAAATTTTGGTGAAGTTGAAAGCTTAAGATGGGTTGACTCCTCTCTGTTTGGCATAGATCCAATTATTAGGGGGAAAAAATCTCCCCCCTTAAACTTGTCATCAAGGAATCCTACAGAGGGATACATATGTTGTAATTTACATTATTTTTTGGTCTTTAAGGAGCCAGGATATTTTTCCCTATGGAAAGCAGTTCCCTTGTAAACTACGTCCTAATCTTAGTTCTCCCCATTAAGACCTAGTAAAACTGTTACTTGTTTATCAAATGAAACAAACAGACATTTAGTTTACCCACAGCTTGGATGATACATGGGAGACAGTCCTATTAGCTCGCTCAGTCTCCATATGTATTCCCATCATCTGTTTCCTGTGTGAGGACACTGCAAAGGAAGGCTTGAGGTAAATAACAAGGCTTACGAGTGG